CTCCAAACCTACACAGCATAGTGGAGCTATTTAGTTTAGAAAAGAAAAAACAAATATAGCACTTTTTAATTTAAAGGAATGGGCGCAAGCCTACTGAAGTGATTAAACAGATAAGAACAAATTCAACGATCCCATTCTTCACTACTTCATGCTTTCCTATGTAGTGGCACTACCCCCCCCCCCTCCCTACACACACAAAAAAAGCTAACTGTAAGGGATCGTTTAAAAACATATCCCGTAATATATAAAATATACAATATTTGCATCAGCCTTGAGTTCGTTGCTTTAGATTTTCATTTTAGACGCGCCAATCTTATTTAATTTGGGGATTTTATACTATGTCACTTTCCAGTTGCTCATTTAACGCACAGTCTGTATTGAGCAAATTTTCTCCTTACACTAGTGTTTGCTTAACGTCTGTCCAAGCAAGGTTTTCGTGTTTTATAGTGAAAGAAATTAGCCCGTTTATATATGTATGTAACTCTCATTTCTTATTGTATTAAACTTATATAAGATCTACATGGTCACTATACATTTTTATAGATCTTCTTTCCTTAAATGGTTTTAAAAACCTGCAAATATGTAACAAATAGAATTTGAGCAACTTTTTTTTTTATTCTTAATAACCATTCAGTCATTGGATTGATGATGTTTCTTATGTGCGATTGGAAGGATGGCGACTGGTTAACCGCGTCGACGTACAAACTAACCATGTACTGTGCATAATGATAATTCAGCATGTACAGGATCTCGAATTATACTTTCTATTTGCTAAAGTAGAATGTTATGAACTTCATAGTTACTATAAGAATGCCCCAAAGAATTCGAATAAGTTGAGTTTTATTGTTACTCAAACAATATTATAAGGTGAGTTAGTGTTTGCTTTAGCTTATAAGTTATAAATTACTTAGGACGTTAGGTTGAACCTGATCCAGTACACTGCCCCCACTTCTAGCACTAATAGTAATCGTACTGCTATTAATTACTGATGTTACTAATACTAGTACGAACGACTTAATACTATTACAAATACTTCTGGCAGTAACTGAGTAAGCAGGAGAGAGCAGATAATGACATTACTAATGATACTATAAATTGTGTGTAATATTGCAAGTTCAGTAAACCATGATCGACAAGGAAAACTATAAAAAGTATAATGATCGTTAAACTTAAAATACTTCAACATCAGTGTAGGTAGGTCACTTATGAAAAATTATTAGCTATTAGTATTATCGCTCTCATAAAGGTGTCATTCAAAATGATTTGTTCAAAAATATAATTTACAAAGTTTTAATTTTAGAACTTTGTGTATGAAATGCAAATGAAACTTGGCATTCAGCCATCCTAGAAGAAGAAGTGATATTACTATTACTAGTAGTAATGCTGCTGGTGTTACCGATTTTACAAGCTAATTAAATTATTGACTAGAAAGTGCTAACTAAGTATTGTTTGACAAATGCTCTGCCTACATTTTACAATAGGGGTCATCACATTTTGTTAATTTTTATCTCCCAAACTTTCTACTTACCGCCAAGGGATTAATATCTGCATGGTGATTAGCTCAATTCCAGTATTTTGCTGTAGAATGTTCTAGAATATTGATAACATCTTCTTTTGTAAAAACACAACAGAAAATGTTTAAAAACTTAACCATTTCATAGTCTTAAAATAAAATAAAACGTAACCTTACTAGGAGCATTCTTTAAGGGGCCCAGTTTCAATTTTAACATACCTAAAAATAAAACATTTCTTTAAGTATTAACATTATCAGCCAGCAGTTCCTCATAAGCCCTTTTTGGATTTCCAAATTTCTTTATTAAGCAAAATCCCCAGCCTCTGTATAGTTTTCTAAATATTCCATGCTGCATGTCAATTTATAATTTGTAAACTTAGACATTTATATCTGAGTCTAATTAGGAATTCTAATGTCAATAATAAGTCAATCAGGTATAATCTTACCCTCTATTGTTTCTTATTCGTAAAGGGAATTCTTCTTCTTCTTAGTTCCTGTCGTTCCTAGTGGAACATAGGGCTACAACAACACTTCGCCGACGGAAGTGTTGTTGCAGTTTCTGTAGCAGATTGTTATCGGGGTGGAGTTGCTAGGACAAGGACGCGAACCTGCGACCCTCGGATTGCGAGTCGAGTGACTTATCCACCGGGCCATGCCGGGCCCGTAAAGGGAATTAGGTCCTTTAAAAGTTGCTGATGGCTAGGTTTTGTTGAAGACTATGAGATGGATGAGATTTAAATGTTCTCTTTTGTTTTTCAACAGAAGATATTAGCAATGTTTTTTACCCTCAGCATTCTATGGGAAATATTGTAATTGACTTAAGTCATGTGTATATTAATCTTTTGATAGTAAATAGAAAGATTGAGAAGTTAAAAGTAAATAAAGCACGAGGATCAGAAATGTGAACATTTTCCTTTCATTTTTGGTAGATCAATATACAGTGGGAAGTTACCTTTATAAAATTTTTTAGTGAAATGTATCATAAAGAAAGCCAGCATGGATTCACCAAAGGAAAATCTTGCTTCACTAATCTGTTATCTTTTTTTTAAAAAAAATTAAAAGATGTTACTTGTTATTTTGTCAGTGAGAACATGGTGTACTTAGATATCCAAATTGTTTTTTAGAAGTTGCCACACACAAGATTAGTTAAGAATATTACATCTTTAAGGGAAAGACTAGTTAAGCGTATTGTACTACAATTTGTAAATTGGTTGAATGAGAGAAAACAGATTTTTGTAAGTAATGGAATCCAGTCAGGTTAGATTCATGTTACTAGTGGAGTGCTTCAGGTGTTAATGCTGAAAACTATCACCGTTTTTTATTTTATTTAAAATAATGTTATTATTTAGAAGAACTTGTGAATGAAAGCAAAGAATAGTGTATGATAATATGTCAACAATGCTATGTCTGCTACATCTACCATCAACAAGGCTTCTTACCCAGTACCGGGCTCTTTAGGCAGGTTGAGATATGACAGACATAATAGTGGTTGAGATGCTATTTATATCATCAGATTTCTTGGAAAACTAATGTTTTGATATGAACTGGATTAAGTTGGTTTAGTGATTTTGTCTGTCCCAACATATTAGAACTAGGATGGCGCATAATTAGTAACTTTAGATTAATTTGGAGTGTTGTTTCGTTGTCCATTGTTGTTACAAACACTCTGCTGTGCAAGTTTATTACCTTCCCTGGGAAAAAAATTTAACACTTCCGTCTTTAAAATATATTGTCCTTTGGCTCTACATTATTATACAGTTTTGCTATTTTAGTATTTTTCAGAAAGGTTTATGACATTTTTCCAGTCATAAGTACGCCTATACTGACATTATACTGTTGATTGTTCAGGAATTATTTGTAAATTATATACACACATGCACACATACCAAAACAATTATATAATGTTAAATCCCTCCTCTTGTATGTACACACACACACACACACACACATGTATATATATATATATATATATACA